TTCTTAAAGAGACAGAGTCTCACTGTGTTGCCCAGGCTGGAGCACAGTGGCTGTTCATGGTCGCTGTATGGCTCACTGCAGCCTCAAACCCTTGGGCTCAAGTGACCTTCTTGCCTCAGCCCCCCAAGAAACTGGGTCTACAGGCTCACAGCACTACACCCAGCTTGCATTTTGGATGTATTTAAGTAAGTCCAGTCAGAGCCTCAGTTCAGAGGTGAACTCAAATTTTCTTTTTACAACTTTATATTAAAATAACTTCACAAAATTTAGAAATCTTAAGAGAACTCTTGATGCTCTATAGTGCAAATTCTACTATATATGAATTTCTGTCTCAACTCACCTTAGATTGTTTTTATGGTAATCTTTTTCCACATACTCAGCTTTAAAGAGAGATTCTACTTTTTATCTCACTTATGTACCTACTTTGATGTCAGAATCTTCCCCTTCAGCCCATGCTGCACACAGCCCCCTCCCCACATTAGCTTCAGTAGTCACACTAAAGCTAGTAAAACATGTAATTGATTTCCTGTTTTTGTGTGTGTGTAAGACTTAGGAATTGGGCAACTGTAAAGCATGTTGGCTGAGAGCACAGACTTTGGGAACAAATAAACCTGAGTTTGAATCTTGATTCTGTTGCTGAATTACCTATATTTGTCCTTACAGTAATTGTTTTGATCTTTTAAGTTAGTTTCTCCTCTGTGAAATAAATATGGTATTCCTACCTCACAGGGTGGTTGTGAGAATTAAGTAGACTGGTGGATGTGGAGACTAGTGCCTGAAACATGGAAAGACTTCAAGAATTGTAGTTCTTTTGTGTTACTTAATGTCATGACAGTAAACAAATTTACTCATTTTGGTGACTTGGCGAGTTTTATCCTGGAAAGTCTTAAGAGACTAGCTTTAGGAAAAGCTGTCTAAATACATTTCCTATTAGACAAGTAGGGAGTTTTTATACATTGATAATAGCAAAAATATAATTTTTGCTGTATGGATTAATCTTTAATTAAATTTACAATCTAGAGTTAGATAAGAACAGAGCTCTGGAATAGTTTTAAAAAGTAAAATAAAAGTTTGGTTTATATCAATATAGTAACTTGGCTTCATATTCTTTTTTAAGGAGTTTGGTGTTCTTTAAAATTTCTTTTACACACATTTAAGACATAATTCGAGAATTCCTGTCCTATTTTAATCTCAATGCAGCAGACATTGTGTTAAAGTAGTAGGAGTATTAGATTGGGAATTTGGAGAGTTGAGTTTGAGTCTTGGCTTTGCTGTTGACTTTGCATGTATGTCCTGTGGTGTTTATAACCTGATTTAACTCACCTGCCTACTTTAGTTCCTCAGAAAATCAGAAATAATTATGTTGAGGCTCTTCAGAAAGTTTAGAGGGCTATCCAAAGAAAAGTATTACCTCAGCTCTCTGCTTGTTTTTGTTCACCTACATGTTTTCAGAAAACATGTTGGTGTCTTATGAATTATTAGAAATTGAAACTCATATCCCTGTTAATCATAATTTTGTTACCAGAGGGATTTTTGGTAACTCTTTTCTTGGATTGTGAGATGACTTATTATTTCAATGGTGAAGGTTTTAGGCATTCATCAAATAGCCAGAAGACAGTTCCTGGATAAGTTCGTTTTTTCAGGAAGGGTAACTTGCTCTAAATACCCTTTTCAATCTGCTCAGAACTGATGACCTCCATTAAGCCTTTGATTAACTCTACCTGGTTTTAATTAATTTGCTTTTCATCAGCATTTATGCATGTAGTTTGTAGTATATTGGTTTATATTTGGGTTTTCTAAAGTCATTTTATGTCTTTTACATGTGACCTGGTCTTTTTTTCTCAGCTAGCTTGGAATCTCCTGAAGGGTAAAGACATTTGTCCTTTCCCTTTCTCTACAATAAACTCATAATAGAGGGTGCTCTGCACATAATGTTTCTTACTAGTTGTGGTTGTTCCACTAGAACATAGTGGTATCAATTGGCCTAATTTTTAAAAATACGCATCAGTAGAAATTTTCAGTTTGCCTGTTTAATGACAAAAAGTCATCAAAACAACAGACTACTTGATCTTTAAAATATGGCACTTAAGCTGCTTTGTATTTCATCTTATTTTTTGTTCTTTTTCAAATGATTTTGTTAATTATATTTGGCTGAATTAAATCTAGTAGTTTTTCATTAGATAATTTGAATTTTTAATACTATAATATTTTTAGGGAATGTGCTATTTGTATTGTTAATGATTCTTAATAAAAAAGAAATTACGCCTTTTGTGAAAGTATAAAAGTATTTCTTTTATAAAAGGCATAGTTTTATAAAGAGTCCCAATTCCGTTACTTCCACTCTTCTGTTAATTTATTAAATTTTTGGTCATTCTTGCTGTTAAAGTTTCTGATGTAAACCTTGATATGGAGGAGACTATTCTTGCAATAAATCTGCTAACATATTTGGAAATAACTACATTTGAACCTTTGCTTTAATCAGTGCTTTTTCTACAACAAATCAAGATAAAATTATTTCCTTCATCTTTGCACTTAAGATCCCAAAGATGATGTTTCTTCCAAATGAATGTTTGCATTTTATTGTCCAGCTTTTTTCTCTAAAACCAATTATTGCTCCATTAAGAAACATTTTTACATCTTCTTTAGGAATGTCGTTGTCTGCTGGGTCTTCCCCTCTTCATTCCCCCAAGATTACTCCACATACTTCTCCTGCTCCCAGAAGAAGAAGTCACACTCCAAATCCAGCAAGTTACATGGTGCCTTCTAGTGCCTCTACATCTGTCAATAATCCTGTTTCTCAGACTCCATCTTCTGGTCAGGTGATCCAAAAGGAAACTGTTGGTGGGACGACTTACTTCTATACAGACACAACTCCAGCACCTTTAACTGGAATGGTATGTCTACATTAAAGAGATTATAGTACCCTCTTGTAACAGGTCCTTCTTATTGAGGTTCACCCCCTCCTGCAGCTTTTTATTGTGATGCAGAAAAGCGTTACATTTTCTAACTTAGGTGAGAAGTCTAGTCCCTTCTTCTCAACTCTTCAAATTAGTCTAGTTTCTGCCTTACTAATAACTCTAGTTTTGGTCTAATCTGGCTTAATTAGAAATTAGATTATATCCATTCTCTTATTTTAGTACTTTATTTGTTTGTTTGTTTTTTCATCTTAACTTTACCTGGAATATTTTAGTACTTTATGATATGTTTTGCTTATGGGTTTACCTTGTACTAGCTGAAGTTGATGCTTGCTGACATTTGTTTATAGGTATAGATAGTTTAACCTCTAGTAAGAAGCTAGAAGAAGTAGATTGTATATCCTCAGTAGTTACTGGAAGCAAATCAATGATAAACTCTTAACCTTAGGTGAGGCAGTTATTTAACAGCTAGATCTGTGGAGTGACAGATAGTGTTAAGGGGCCCGCAGTGTGGCTTTTTGCTAAGGAGGTAGAAGAGTCGACTGAAAAGGAGCCATAATTATAGAGGAGGAAAGAGCTACCCAAGGATTGGTGATGAAGTGAAAGATGAATCATGAAACATCATGAAGAGGTGGCTCCAGAGGAAATACGAATACAAAGACCAAGAGAGGAAGACCATGCCCAGAAAGAAAGATTTCTTATCAGAGTCAGTCAGTAATGTTCTAAGACAGGGAGAAGGAACAGGAACCAGAGGGCAAAAATGAATGGGGGGAGGAGAGGGAAGGATTGCATGTTATGTAAATTTACCTTTTTAGCTTCATTACTTTGTCTGTATTCAAAAGTTATCTTATTTACTCTAGAAAAATAAGTAGTAGATGAAGACCTCATGAGTAAGAAAGCCAGAGTCCACTAAAACAGGGGTCCCCAGTCCTTGGACCATAGACCAGTGTTAGGAACTAGGCCTCACAGCAGGAGCTGAGCAGTGGGTGAGTAAGTAAAGCTTCATCTGTTTATTTACAGCCGCTCCCCATTGCTCTCATTACCACCTGGGCTCCTTCTTGTGTCAGATGAGCAGTGGCGTTAGATTCCATAGGAACATGAACTCTTGTTGTAAACTGTGCATGCCAGGTATCTAGGTTGTGTGCTCCTTATGAGAATCTAGGGCTTGATAATCTGTTATAGTCTCCCGTCACACCCAGATGAGACTGTCTAGTTGCAGGAAAACAAGCTCAGGGTTCCCACTGAGTCTATATTATGGTGAGTTATATAATTATTTCATCATATATTACAATGTAATAATAAAGTGCACAGTAAATGTAATGCACTTGAATTTTGCCAAAAACATCCTTCCACCCCCACCCTTTAGTCCGTGGAAAAATTGTCTTTGGCAAAATCAGTTCCCTGGTGCCAAAATGGTTGGGGACAGCTGCATTAAAATAATGGAAGCTGATCTAATCTGTAGACATTTGAGAGTCATAGATGATAGGCGTATATGGAATATTATTTGGATTTCAATTTGCAGGTTTTGATCCTCAGAATTAAATGAATTTATTTTTATTGAATTTAATATTTTAAAGAGAGAATTTGAGTGAAAAGAAAGCATGTTTCTTTTTTTTTTTTTTTTTTGAAGTGGAACCTCAATCTGCTGCCCAGGCTGGAATGCAGCAGTGATCTCAGCTCACTCTAACCTCTGCCTCCCGGGTTCAAGCAATACTCCTGCCTCAGCCTTCTCAGTAGCTGGGACTGCAGGCATAGGCTGCCACATCCAGCTCATTTTATTTTTTTGCATTTTAATAGAGAGGGGTTTCACCTTGGCCCAGGCTGATCATGAACTCCTGAGCTCAGGCAATCCACCTGCCTCGGCCTCCCAAAGTGCTAGGATTACAGGCATGGGCCACTGTGCCTGGCCACATGTTTCTTTTTTTTTAAGAGCCTAGTTTTACCACTGTTTTGAGACTCGTGAATCTATGTACTTATGAAACTTTCTCCAGTTGTAAAATAAGGATATTAATACCTAACTACTCTATGATAAATAAATGTGAAAACATTTATAGAAATAGTTGTAAGTCATATAAACTTCTTTTTTAAAACAATAAAATAGTTAACAGTTTTGTGGGCTTTTTAAAATTCAGAAATCTTTCAAACGTTGTCACAGAACTACTTTCCAAACCGAAGTTCAGAAATATTGGTAGGTAGAGACTTCCCTTTGTTCTTTCAAATAAGGAATCCATCAGTGTTTTAGCCTTTTTGTTTATTATATTTTGTAACCATATACCTTTTAATTATATTTTATTTATGGAAAGAAATTTAGTTTAATGTACATGGAGGCTCTTCTGACACAAAATTGCCTTTACCAATTTTATAGAGATTAAATTTACCTCCACCAATTTTAAAGTGATTAAATATGGCACATTTTGATAATGTTTTTACCCTTCACACCACTCTTTAAAATATGCTTTTGGCAAACCTAGGGTAGTTAAGCCAAACTATTTTTTTTTTTTAGGTGGATTCTCGCTCTTTCACCCAAGCTGGAGGATAGTGGTACGATCTTTGCTCACTGCAACCTTTGCCTCCCAGGTTCAAGCATTCCTCCCACCTCAGCCTCACTAGTAGCTGGGACTACAGACACTCACCACAATGCCCAGCTAACTTTTTTATCTTTAGTAGAGATAGTGTTTCACCCTGTTGGCCAGGCTGATCTCAAAGTCCTGACCTCAAGTGATTTGCCCACCTTGACCTCCAAGTGCTAGGATTACAGGCGTGAGCCACCATGCCCACCCTATGCTATCTTATGTAAGGAAACCAACAAAAGAAAAAAGGTATTAGTCTTCATGCAGACACAGGCTGAAGGAAACGGTACAAGTATAGCAAAACTGCATGCTAGTTGAGATCCAGAGCAGAGCAGTCATGTTAGGGCAACACAAATCAGCTGAATTCGTTTTTAAAAGAGAAAAAAAGTTTCATTGTTTAAAATGAAAGAATGAAAAAATAGAAAACATATTTAAAAACGTACTTTGATTTTGTATCATGGACCAGTAAAGGAGAGGCAGAGAAAAGAGTGATAAAGAGAAGAAAGGGTGGTGGGATGAGTCCAGTTGGAAGAATGAAAGACTAGAAGCTGGAAGCTGATTTAGTAACTTTGTTGTAGTTTGCTTGGAAGGTAAATGTATTATTGTATTTTTCTGTTTACTTAAACTGCTGTCCTAGAGTAGGTTTGAATAACACTTTGTTTAGTTTGGCTGCAAAATGCCTGTGAAGGGGGGAATTCTTTGGCAGCCAGGGCAATATTACTTTGTTATCTTCCAGTACCCAAACACCTTTAATTTCTCCTTCCTTCTTTTCTTCCAGTTGCTTTCAAAAAGTGGCAATGAACTGTTTGTGTAGTTGCCACTTATTATCCAAGGGGAACTGAGTCCAGAGCCCCCACGGAGAGCAAAATTCCTGAGTGCTCAAGTCCCTGATACAGAATGACATAGTATTTGCATATATCTTATACACATCCTCCTGTATACTTCACATTCTTTCTAGATTACTTATAATACCTAAGTGCTCTGTGAGTAGTTATTATGCCGTATTTTCATTACTTCTTATTGTTGTGTTTGTCATTTTTTCCCGAATAGTTCCTACCCATGGTTGGTCAAATCCTCGAATACAGAACCCAGGGATCTGACTGTATAACATTTCTTCCGAAGGGCTACTTTTGTCTTCTCAATCGAGCCTAAATTTTACTTTATCTGAAGGAATGTTTTCTTTCTCATTAGATTTTTTTTTGAGACAGAGTCTTGCTCTGTCACCCAGGCTAGAGTATAGTGGCATGATCTCGTCTTACTGTAGCCTCCACCTCCTGAGTTCAAGCAATTCTCCTGCCTCAGCCTCCTGAATATCTGGGATTACAGGCGCCCGCCACCATGCCCAGCTAATTTTTTGTAGTTTTTTAGTAGAGACGGGGTTTCACCATGTTGACCAGG